CCGGAAACAGGCTGGACTGCACTCCTTCTTGAAAGCCCAGTTAAAATAGGCCCACGTCCATGACTTCGGTGTCTGTGGCTCGCTGTCGGTGTGCTTCCACCATCCGTCTGCTCCTTTACGGAGTAATTGAGATGCTAGTTTCAAGTGATCACCAATTGGCATGTTTAGATCATTCACCACTCTAGCAACCTGATCAATCTAGTCAAGTGCTACCTGTGGTTCAGCCACTCGATCCCTAAGGAACTCTTCAGCTCCATTATCCTTCAAAGTCTTGAAGGTGATCTGTCGTTGTGGCAGCGGAGGCGGTTGGAACATTGGCAGCCTCAGGCGGGTTCCCAGAATTTTTGTTGTTCCTAGCATTCAGCGATACATTGGATTGTCCAGCATTCTGCCAGGGCCGACCCTGGGGGTAGGCACAGGGGGCTGCCACCTAGGGCCTATTTTATAAGGGGGCCCATAATTATTTTTTCTCTAATAGTACTAGTAATATATTATTGTAAAAAATAATTAGTTCATAATTTTAACCTTTCAATTTTAAGTAAATATATGAAGTACAATAATAATAATATGACAACTCAATCATTCTAATTCATCAAGTGAAATTGCCCCTTGTTAAAAATAATTATAAGAGAAGCCAAAATTTTTAATTCGCCTAAGGCCCGTAAAATTACAGAGCCAGCCCTAATTCTGCTGAGGCATGAAGCTAGAGGACTCCGCTTTAGCGTCGGCGTGCTCGCCGCTCAGCTGTTGAGTGTTGTCGTGGGCATGCGTCAATGCGTCACTCATTCTAAATTATATTAATCAATTCCCGACCAGTCATTAGCACATAACAATCAAAGTCGTGAAATTATTACCTTCCCGAGGCTGAAGAGTCGCAAGAGATGTGGTGCAGCTTTTGGAAACCTTCTGTTTATGATTCAAACATCGGTTTTAAAACTATATGCTCCAATACCAAAATGTAGCACCCCAACCTGCATAACCTGAATACTCAGATTAGCAAACCGGGTTGCTACTCAATTGGTATCGAACACTACAACACTTTTCAAACCAAACCAAATAAACATTTCAAATCATAGTTTAGCATTTATCGAAGTAATATTCAAAATAGTCGCAGAAGCTTAATTCATAATTCAAAACACAACTTGCGAATCATGCCCGAAATAGTAATAAGATAATTTAAATAATAAGTAGTAATTCAAAGTCGTCGAATACTGCCACGCACATCTCAGCATCCTCATCGCCCTCTAGAATTGGCTCCAAGTTCCACATTCCCTGGGTTACTGATAAGTCGATTTTAGGTTAGTTCTTTTTATTGTATTTTAGGAATTTTTAATATTTTTAGAATTTAATTTTTAGTCTTTTTGCTTAGTTTTATTTTAATTCGTATTTTAATAATATTTTATTTTTCTTTCATAAATAGCAGCTTTTTAATTATTTTTTTACATGTTATTTTTATTTTTCCTAACCCAAATTTTCTGATATCTTATTTTCTAGATAAAAATGTAGCAAATGCCCAAACTGAAGCTCAAGTTTGAAAAGAACAGATTCAATTTGGGCTAGAGCCCAAACTCAACATTAAATAAATTGTCCCAACATCACTTATCTTCCCAATTTGATCTCACGCAATTAAAAAAGAAGAAGTGAAAAGAGCAGCGACTCTTCTTCTTCATCGCGCAACAGTCGAAGTAACGCCTCTCCTCCAACGTTCGCCAATCAATGCTACAACAGGAAGAAATTGAAGGTCCTTTGATCCTAATCTTCTATAAATTGAGCTCTTAAAATAGCAATTGGGATGGGGGAAACACAGAAAAGTCAAAGAGCAGCGGCCTGGCCGCTTTTATGGCGGCATCCGTCGGTGGCGGTGGCGGACGGCCGGCAGTGGCGAACCGCCGGTGGTAGCAGCTCCGGGTAGAGGTTGTTTGATACGCTCACGTATCGGATAAGGAAGACCTTGGAGTGTCTTCAAGCTCTTGGGGAAGGAAGACGAGAGAAGAGAGAAAGAGGGAGACGGCGGACAAGGAGAGTCGTGCGCCTCAAGACGAGAGAGAGATTTTAGGGTTTGATTATTCTTGATATTATTATGATATGTTTACATCTCCATATGTATAGATAGGGAAACCCTAACCCTAGAAAACTAAGTTGTCTATCCTGATGGTTCAAGAAAAAGCGACGAGATAAAGAACCGTAAAGAAACCCTCGAAGGAGCTTATAAATCGTTCTCCTAATAAATCTAATACATTACTCAATATATAAATAATAAAGTAATTAATAATGAATATCCAATAATAGTGAGAGTACACATACTGCATTTCAAATTCCTCCTGCCACCTTGGAGCACGCCGGACTCGTTCACTACGCCGACTGCTTAGTTTGTTAACCCCCTTGTCCTCGGTCTTTGGTCTCACATGCATGGGGTCCCAGAAGTTCCGTAACATTGTTGTAGCTCCCCGGATCCAATTTCTTCATCTTCTTCAATAGTTGATAACCCTTGTTTGTCAATTATATGTAAAAGTTTTTTTTATTCAATTTTACATTTTTTGTATGTTATTTTTTCATAAATTTCTAAAAATATGGTTGGTGTTCTTTTATGGGTGTTTTTTACTGTTTATTTTAAATCTCTTATGAATGAGAATTGATTCATACTAGTTTTCTTTAATTAATGAGCAAGTTGTTGTTGAATTGGTTGAATTGCATAATTCAATTTCATAAGTGGTTGATATGTGGAATTCAGTTTTTGAAGAGTTTTGGAAAACAAGCTACTGTACACATCGAGATTTTGCCTTATGTTTTGAACCATGTTCCTTATCGGTTTTTGCAAAATTTTTTGAGGATTATGGTCGTTCTTGAAGGTGCTCTTGATGCTGCTATTGAAATGTTAATTAAACAAACTCTTTACTTTTGCCTTGAATTTACGGTTGCTGGAGTTGTGGAGCTGCAAAATTGATTTTGGACTGTTTTAACAGTATTTTTGGAATTGTATTTTGCTGAGCCTTTTACTTGCTTGTGGAGATTTCCTCCGCCACAATTTGGAATGGTTTTGTTTGGATACAAGTGCTGGTCACCAGGAATTAAAGCTAGGCTTCATGGAATAGCTTTGACTATAATTTTTGAGATTTGTTTGGAGCAAAAACTGCCTGGGGGTGCATGGTTGCAAGATCACGCTGTTGATCATGCCTGAGTTTTGGGATGGACCTGGATAGGTTATAGGAGGGACCTGCTGATCGTGAACTGCTGTCCCTACTGGAAATTTCAATAGAACTGTGTGATTAAGCCTTGGGGCTGTTACCATTGACAAATTGTGGCAATTTGATGTTTGAATGATACTTGTTTTGGAGGTCAACCCGTGTTGCTGCAGTGGCTATTTTTGTTGTGCATTTGGGCTTGAAATGGAGCTGAAATGGCAGTGGTGGGGCTCCTTTTTTGGCCTCCAAAAGGTTGAAATGAAGCTGCTGGAATTTGAATATTCACTGGTGGTTTGTGCTGATTTTGTAATGGAAGTTTGACTCTTGCATTGGGCATCGTGTGGGGTGGTTTTTACTGCTGTTTTTTGGAGCTGATAATGGTAACATTAACATTTCACCCGCCTCTATTTGATGCATTACCTTGGAGGAACAAGTTGGACCTGATTTTGAAATACTTTTGTTGAGCATATTGACTGAGTTTTTGTGAAACCTGTTCCTTGGGGAGGGAGTATATATGGGTGGACTTGATATCTGAAATCTTATAGTTGGAATTCGAAACTTGATTAGAATCTAGAAACTATAATACCATTGGTGTTACATGTATTAATAACATTGGGTAGTGCTTGTATTGGAATGTGGGACTATGTATAAACCTGTATCATAATTAAAATGATCATGATTTGGCTTTACCTTAAATTTCTTGGATAGTAATCCATTATTTTCACAATGATGTGTTTTAAATCTATTGGCATCTGATATTATATGGCAAATGGTTATACTTCCTAGCATCCATGATACACAATTTGAGCTTTAAGAGTTCTAATTTAGACACATGAGAGTTTTCCTCTTGTAATTTCAATCTATCAAGAGTTGGTAATGATTAAAATTCAATGATATAGTGCAACCTAATGGGTTTATTCAAAAAGCATGTAATAGTAAGTAAATGGTTAACACTCCAAATGGTTGTAAATTCTACTTTTGAATGATTATAAGTGTTCTAATTCAACCTCATAGAATATATATACTCCACTTTTTGGCTTAATTGTATTGTTGTTTTTGTCTTATGGAGTGGTCATGTTTTTGAAAGTTGCACTATCATTGATACATCCTGCTTATAGACCATATGTAGAAGCATGACATTGTGTTAATATATTTATTTTTGAATTTTAAGTGTTGATTTTTAATAAAATCTAAACTGAATTATTTTTTATTTAGAAAAATATGTAGCTTTGCTTGATTTCTAAGCTGAATTATGAACTTCATTTGTTAAATAGATGCATATGAACTATTTTGGAGGTATTTAGCTAGCAAATAACTCCAAAAAGTTTTAAGTATTTTTGTTATGAATGTTAGAATAAGAGATTAACGCTAGAGGGGGGGTGAATAGCGTTTGATCAAAAATCGCAGGAATAAAAAAATGAAAAAACGAGAAGTAAAGAGAAGAGTAAGAGGCACACCGATTTTACCCTGGTTCACCACAACTTGTGGCTAATCCAGCCTCCCGAGAGACTCTCTCGAGCTACACTACTACCTCGTTAAGCTTAACGGTGCTTAACAAACCCGTACAACTTGAGAATTCGAGTCACACGAACCTCAACGAACCTTCGAAGGAAACANCTTCTCTTGTCAAGTGTTTAAGAACACTAAAAACACTCAAGAACAATACTCTCTTTTAGAGTGGATAATGAGTAAACTAAGAACGCTCAAGAACACAACACAAGCTTCACAAAAAAATGGCTCTCAAAAGCTATGAATAATTGAAGAATGATTTGCAATGAAAGAGTAGGAGTTGTGAAGTAATGTGATATGTAAAACAGACCCAAACACCCCATTTTATAGTAGAAAAATAGGCTCCAACGGACCAAAGTATTTAAGAGGTGATTGGCACAATTTGTGGGATTTGATGAAATTTGGATCTGTTGAAATTCACCCAGACAGCGCTGTCCTAGGCTTGGACATCGCTGTTCTAGGCTTGCGTTTTGAAAAATGGGAAGCAACGGTCATGCCAACAGCGATGTCTAAAAACCTTACATCGCTGTTTTCGTTGTTGACTTCCAAACAAGGAAAGTTTTAGCCTTAAATTCCTTCCAACGGTCAGGTCTCTACATCGATGTTCCATACTAGAACATCGCTGTTTAGGTCTGCCTTTGAAGATGGAAGTTTGGCCTGATAGCGCTGTTTCTGGGTCAACATCGCTGTCCAAAAACTTTCTGCCAATGCACAATATCTTTGGCTTAGGTTGGACAGCGCTGTAGGGAAGCCTACATCGCTGTTCCAGAAGTTTTTGGAAATCCAACCTTGGCTCAACAGTGATGTCTAATGTCCAACATCGCTGTTGGAGGACTTAACGCCAAACCATGTTTTGAGCTACCCAAGCCAGACGGCGCTGTTGGTTACCTCAACATCGCTGTTGGGCTGGTTTAGCCAGACCCGTAGTTGGTTTAGTCACGCCGTTAGCCGATGTCAAAAACACAACTTCTCCAAAGTAAAAACCAAATATTGAAAACATTTTTTTATTTCACTTTGCTAAGAAATCAAGTAAAACATTTTAAAAACCACGTCATTTAGTTGAAAACCACGGCTAGCCAAGTTTACGCCGTTTCGCATGCTTTTCACTAAGCGACCAAAACGAAAGGTAGTTTTTGAAGCGTTTTTGTTGGAGAACTATTTAAATATGCCCAGAAGTAAAAACTAATCATTAAAAGTTGAAAACCACTTGGTCGGTTCGAACGCCAAAAACCAACGCCGATAACCGAAAGCCGAACGCCGGTTTCCGAAGACCGAACGCCGGATGGCTTGGTTTTTGGTTTGGGCGAACTCCAAGTGTTTTCAGGAAGGTTTAAGACTTAAGAAAATCATTTTGAATATGCAAAAAATATTTTGATGAAATGAGCCTGGAGAGCCATGTTTTGAAGGTTTGTGTCGGTCTTGATCACATTAAAACCGACTCAATATAATTCTAAGTCTTCGTTCTTGATTCTTGGTTCTTGGTTCTCAGTTCATCATGCCATGTTCCTTCGCCTTGGTTTTGCTCAGTTTAACCTTGTTATTGTCACGGCGGTTTGGCATTATCAAAACTTGTCTTAAAACGAACACGGCTTAGTACGACATAGGCGTAACCCCGTGTTCCAACAATTTCCCTCTTTTTGATAATGGCAAACAAGACGGGAATATGCATACTAAGGTATATTTGACTTTGAAAAGAGTGAAAAAGTTCCCCCTTAATTTGTGCTTAAAAAAATTGTCATATTAAAATCAAACGATTCCGTTTTTAGGGACGTTCCCCCTTAGTGTATGCATAACCCTTTTCTTCCCCCTTTTGTCATTAACAAAAAGATAGAGGATATCTTTTATTTATTGAAAAAGGGAAATAGCGGAGTACAACGGAAGCATTAAAAAAACAGGATAATTAAAATAAAAGAGATAGAAATTCTAGGGGCGTCCTAGTCTTCGTCTTCGGTTTCCTCCTCGTCATCGTCGACGTCCATCTCATCACCGTCAACGGCGTCGTCAAACTCGTCCTCGTCCGGGGAGCTTGACGGGTCGTAGGAGGCATCGTCTTCGTCCTCGTCACCGTACACCTACCCAAAGAACGTGCCATGGTACGGTGGGGGGACGTAGTTAACGCGTTGGAAGTACGCGTTCATGGCGTACCCTTGGCGTTGGACCGCCTTGTCAAGTCTTTCAAGGTAGCCATCCATCCCATCAACTTTGAAGTGCAGCTGGTTGAGGGAGTCAGCAATGGAGGCAAGGTTGGCTCGGGCCTGGGGTTCGGCTGGGCCAGCAGCAGAACGGGGCCGTGGCACGGCAGTGGCAGGTCCAGCGTTGTCCGACCGCTTCTTGAAGGTTTGGGTGCTGATCGCCCAAATCTTCATGGCCTTTGTGAGTGGGCCAACGGTGGTGGTCACCTTGAACTGTTCAAGGATGTCCATCACCACGAACGGGTACGGGAGGAGGTGATCGTGGTCGGTGGACGCGGAAATCGTCATGTTGATCATGACAAACTTTGCCCAATTGATTGGGGCCGAGTGCACGATCGCATGGATGAGTTTGAGGTCCTCACCGGACATGATTGTGTGGCCATGCTTCCGGGGCTTGATGATTCGGGACACGATGTAGAGAAGAAGACGGCCTTCGGGGTTAGCGGAGTGGATGGTGGGGCGGCCCGAGGCATGGCGGATGAGCTCGGTGATGCCAAGCTCGTTGAGGATAAGGCCCTCGTTGTTGAGCACTCAGTCCTCTCCGCCATAGTGGGAGACATCATCGCCTTGGTAGGGGAGGCCGGCGATGCGCCCAAGCTGCTCAATTGAAAGCTCTACCGGCGTGCTCTTGACAAGAGAGTAGAGTACGTTACCCTCACGCCGGAGGTTGGAGTAGAAGACCCGAATCAGCGCCGGGTTGATCTCCTTTCGAGCCCGGGAGACGAAAGGCCAAAGGCCGGCCTGATGAAGCTGCACGTCGAGGTCGTCGTAGCCCTGCAGCTCCGGGTAGCTCTCCGGGATGATCCGTGGAGGAGCCACAACCCGTTTAGAGAAGAAGGTGAGGAAACGGATGTGTTCCTCCTCGGAATCAAACCAAAGGTATGACCCGTCACCATAGTAGAGGCGTTCCTCGGTCGATGTCGTAGGCGCCCGGGATTTGGACTTTGATTTCCCGGAGATGGCAGCCCTGCTCTTGTCCTTGCCCATGAAAAGAAAACTCAAGAGAAAAGAGTAGAGATGATGAAATAAGCAAAGATGTTGAAGAGAATTGTGTTTGTTGTTGGAACACACTTTGCATGTTAAACTAAAGTCGTGTTCATTTCTGACAGGTTTTGATAATTGCCAAACCGCCGTGGATATGAAGAGTTTCGTTGAATAACTCAAAGCGTGAAGAATGGCTTGGAAGCACTGGGAGATTCTTGAAGAATACAACATCAAAACCGATGTTGGGCCAAAGGTAAAGGGGACAAAGCACTGGGAGATTGATGAGTCTTCTTTCCACTCGGGCACCGACGAGACTCCGTTTCGACAGCCTCGTCCACGCCGCCAACCGAGAGCCACTGCCTCAGCTGCCACCACATCAACCAATCCTTCTCTCGCCGAGCAAATGGCAGCCTTAACCGCCACTCTCTCTCGGATTGACACCAACGTCTCCAAAACGGCGCACAACGTCAATACCTTGAGCCGTGAACTTCACGGGTATTTTGACTTTGTCAATTACCCGTACGCTCAAATGGTCCCTTACATTCCTCCACCGAATTTCGGAGGTGAACAAAGTGGGACTCAAAACGTTGGAAGAGAAGACGAGGTGGACGATGGTGATGATGGTGATGATGATGATGATGATGATGATGATGATGATGATGGCGATGATGAAGAAGAAGAAGAAGAAGACATTGACGAAGAACAACTTCTCAATGATCTTTCCCCGGATTTCTAGAGCTCTAGCTCTACTTTCTTCTCTTCCTTATTTTATAATTTTTAATGCTTTCGCTATGTACTCCGCCTTTTCCCTTAATTAATTAATAAAAATCTTTATGATTTTTGTTGTTAACAATCTTTTTGTTAATGTTAAAAGGGGGAAGATAAGGGCTATGCATATATTAAGGGGGAATTTTGTTTCAAAAAGATCAAAACCCTATGCATATCCCCGTCTTGTTTGCCGTTATCAAAAAGGGGGAAATTGTTGGAACACACTTTGCACGTTAAACTAAAGTCGTGTTCATTTCTGACAGGTTTTGATAATTGCCAAACCGCCGTGGATATGAAGAGTTTCGTTGAATAACTCAAGGCGTGAAGAATGGCTTGGAACAAGACCTAAAAGACTCAAGGACAAGATCAAGAATTGAAGACTTAGTCGAGTCGGTCTTTTGTGATCAAAACCGACAATTTATTCAAGTCTCGGTTCTCAAACAGTCAAAACAATTTTTACAAACCATAAAACATTTTTTGTGCATCAAAACAGACATTTTTTGATGACTTCTTTTATTATTAAAATCCCTGGTCCTTGCTCAGAACCAAAACCACCTAAGTCGGCGTTCGGCTTTCGGCGTTCGGTTTTTTGGCGCCCGAACCAACTCCGTGGTTTTCAATATTTTAAACCCTGTTTTTATCTCTGAGCATATTTTAAAGGTTCCCGAATAATTATTTTGTAAAAACCATCTTTGTATCTTGGTCAATCGGTCTAACACGTGAAAAACGGTCAAAACCGTACGCACGTGATTTACGACCTTGAGGACTTGGTTTTTTACCAAACAAGTCTTGTTTTCACTATTTTATACCATATACAATGTTTTTCAAACTTGGTTTTTACTTTCGGGAACGCTTCGTTTTTGGACCTCGGTTTTTCAAAACGGGTTTCAGCTGGCTAGACTTTAGCTGGGTGATAATCGATTATCACCTTAGTGACAATCGACTATCAGCCACTGCAGCTTTGAACTTCCAAGTTCTGAAGCACTAAATAATCGATTATCATATTTGCAATAATCGATTATCAGCCTTGCAGCCAAAACCCAGAATCTTCAGAGAGGACCAATAATCGATTATCACTTGTTGACAATCGATTATCTGGGTTACCGTTGTCCTCCAACGGATAGAATTTTAAATTTTTGGACAGGGAATCTTTGGATAATCGATTATCATGTTTTCACAATCGACTATCAGCCTGTGTCCCTGAAAAATTTGTCTTCATCCTGTTGGAAACTCTAGCAACGGGTTTATCCCATTTTGGGCTATAAAAGGGCACCCAAATCCTCTCTTTTAACACACAATTCTTCAACATTTCAATACTCCTTCATTGCATAATCATTCCTATTTTTCTTAGCTATTTGAGAGCCAATTCTTGAAGAAATTGTCGTGTTCTTGAGCGTTTACTAGTTCACTCATATCTACTCTTTGTGAGAGTTT